CGTAAAATGAGCAAAAATATCTCTATTTCTCGGCAAAAAATGATAGTGTGAACTAGGGGTAGCAGGGGGATCGGGTCGGTCCGCCCTGGCCCGCGTTTGGCTTGAGATCCGGCCCGCCGGACCTGTACCCATTTTAATTTCGGGGTTTTAGGGTTGGGGGATTAGTGGACCGGTCAGGGGCCGGTTCACCTATGCATCCCGATCGACCCAACCCAGTCTCGGCCGGTTCACGGTATCCCATATATATATATATATATATATATATATATATATATATATATATACTAGTCGTTTCCAGCCGTTGGGAAAACATCTAGTTGGGGGGGGGGCAACGGATTTTTCCCCCTTTTTGACTTTCCAAACACCCCCTACCATCACTACTTTTAATACTTTAATTTAAACCCTCAAGTTATAATAACTACACTTTAATCCATTTTTAATATTATAAATACCCCTCTATCCCTTAAAATTTCTTACAAAATCATCTATTCTCATTTCTCTCATCTATTTTTCTATATCCTGTCAACTCTCAAGCCACAATCTTAAGTTTTAATTTCTATTCATTTTAATTCTCATTTTATTATATTACATATATTGTAATTTTTAATTCTAAATTTTCATATTATATCAACTTTTATATATATATATATATATATATAATTTCATATTTGCTATCAAGTGTTGGTTTGAGTTTCAAAGTACAAGTTACAACAAACTACAAGCTTCAAGAATCGTTAAATGTCTGCTATTAACGCATGCGTTTGGTACATTCCTTTCATAATATTTATATTTATTTTTTGTCTTTATTTTTTGTGTTATTATTGTTTTTATATTACACTTTATATATAATAAAGTATGAGTTCTAGCAAAATACACCGAAGGAAAAGATAAAGAACAAGATAATGAACAAAGTGACATTTTTAAAATATTTAATTTTGGTTAAAAAATAGTAAGAAAAAAAGAATTGTAAATACCATGGCACTTCATCTAAATTAATGTCTAGAGTTAGATTTAATATAAATGATTCTACTTATGTTGATGATACTGCTTATGATACTAATTCAAATTTTCAACTTGATCACAAAAGTTTAGAACAACATTATGGTAATATTAATCATAATCTTGATGAAAATTTAGGTGAAGAAGTAGAAGATGATTTGGGAGAAGAGAATTTAGAAGATACACCTACTAGTTCGGTGACAAAAGTTCCAAATGAAATGATAAATTCAACGTAGCAAAATTGTGGACGTCCACCCCTTATACCTCCCACAAGGGAGAAGGTAAAGTATCAATGTCCTAAAACTTCTATTGTGTGGCAATTTATGACTTTCGATAAGGAAAATAGTGTTACTATTTGTAATAAGTGTAAGCAACCTTTTAAACATAAACAAAGTGGGGGTCAAGGTGGGACAGGGTAATTAAAAAGACATTTGTTATCTTGTGTGCCGATTCAATATAAAGAAGTTAAAGCATTAGCCAATAGAAAAAAAGAAATTCCAATTAATGAATTTGATATTAGTGGTAATGCATCGGTAGGGTTTCTAACATGGTTCAAGGAACATTAGATCCTTTTAACCCCGGTGGTCCACTAACACAACATAAATATAATAAGGAATAAAATCGCGAAAATTTAGCAAAAATGATTTCTGTTTGTGATTTTGCCTTACAGCTTTCCTTCAAATTCCGATTTTATTGAATATATTCAACAAACTTATAATCCTTCTTATAGAAGTTTTTCAAGAAATACTGTTAAATCTTATATTTATGAATATCAACGTAAACATTATCAATTTCTTCGCTGTATATTTTGCATATTAGATAGTAGAGTTTCTATAACTTCGGACATGGGTCATAGTGTTAATGGAAATGATTATTTAACTATTACAGCACATTAGATTGATCATAATTGAAATTTGCAAAAAAGAATCTTAAGTTATAAAAAATGTGTAGAAAAAAAACTGGTGGATATTTAGCTTCAAATATTTTAAGTGTTTTAGATAATTACGTGGTTATAGATAAAGTAATGTCTGTCGCATTAGATAATGCATCTAATAATACAAACGCTGCTAAAATGTTAAAAGTTAGATTATGTCCAATTGACAATAATATTTTTCATGTTAGATGTGTTGCACATATATTAAATTTGGTTGTACAAGATGGTATTTCATTATTTGATTGTGGTTGCATAAAAATTGAATATGTCGTTGCCTGGATTTTTCATACTAACAATGCGCTAGAATTAGGAAATTTAATGAGCGTTGTTTACTATGTGAATTGTCACCTAGAAAAATTTCAAGACATATTAAAACAAGGTAGAATTCTTTTTACAAAATACTTTCAGTTGCTTACAAATATAGAAGACCCATACAAATGGTGTTTTATGCTCATAATGCTGAACATTAGATAGAATTTGTGATAAAGATTGGGAAGAAACTAAATAACTATTTATAATTTTTAAGACTTTTTTATGATGCTACAACCATGTTTTCTGATATTTATTATCCTACTATTTCATTAGTTTTAAGTAATATTTGTCTCTTACAATTCAATTTTCTAAATATGAAAAAATAGATAAATTTAGGATTGCAATTGAAGGTATTAAAATATATTTTTTTTCCTATTCCTCAGATTTATTTAACTGCTACTTTACTTCATCCTGATTATAAATGACGAGGTGTGCAGGGCCTTGTTGACACTTTTTTTTATGAAACTTTAGAAATTTTACCGAAAAATTTCAATTGTGAAACGTGTAAGTCTAGCATAAAAGTAAAAGCAAAAATATGGTATGAAAAATATAGAACTATGGAAAATATTCAAGGAGAAGTTGGTCAAACTTCTAATCCTGAGATTGATTTTGAAGTTCGAATTTCAACTTATATGCGAGGTGTTCTTGGTCTTAATTCTACTAACCGTGATAATTTTGAAGAATATCTTAATCAATCTTTAGAAGCATTGCAAATCAAAGATTGCAATGAAGATTTATTAGGCTGGCGGAGTAGGCGAAGCGTTGCATTTCTAATTTTGAGCAAAATGGTTCGTGATGTTCTAGCTATTCAAGCTTCATTAGTTCCACCGGAGGTTGCTTTCAGTGTGGTGATTTTCAAATTGGTGATCATAAACATTCATTGGCGGAACACAGTCTGAAAACAACAGTTTTATTTAAAGACTAGTCAATGCCGATAGGAGGAATAATAATTTGCTACCAAACAAGCAATTTGGATCAAAACACAAATAGAATGCAGTGATAATGAATTAGAGTCACAAGAGTTTTTAACAAGTTTGCCAACAACGGAGGATATCACCATCGGTATGATGCGACAATTAGAATTGAATTTTAAAGGAGAAAACAGATATTATTAGATTACTTACGAGAACTAATTGAAACAGAATCCTTCCTAGAAGGTGGCTGTTTAAAATTAGTTACTCATCTAATATCTGTAACAGATATTAGATTTACATATGAGAACTTATTGAAACAGCACCCTTCTTAGAAGGTGGTTGCATAGATTAGTTATCCTACTAATATTTGTTAATTGTAACTTCTAAGTTCTATTGATAAATTTGAAGGTTTTATTCAAGTTTTTTTATACAATTATTGTATTGCATTTTAATTTTAATATATACAATTAAATATATACTAAAGTACTAAACTAACTTTAAAATACTTAATTTAAAACTTGTAACTTGACATTTGAAATTTCAAGTTTATATTACTTTAAAATATTTGAATACAAATTAAACTTCTCAAATTTGAAATTTAAAACTTTAAAGTTGAAACATGAAAGCTTGAAATTTGAAAATTAAAACTTGAAATTTGATAATTTAATTTGAAATTTAAAATTTGAAAGTTAAAAGTTAAATTTAAAATTTATTAGATAAAAACATATAATTTCAATACAAATAAATAAGTACTTAAAAAACAAAAAAAATTCCCAATCTCGTCCCCCCAAATCTCATCCATTCCGTATATATAGTGGGACGGGATGGGACCTATTTCTGTCCCCCAATACCGGTCCCAGCCAAAATCCCCTCATCGCCGATCCTCATCCCGTCCCCCAGTCCTCGTCCCTGTCCCCTTGTCAGCCCTAGTGTAAACAAATGTTTATTGTTCCCTTATTAGAAAGGTCATAACTATTTGGAAAAGTTGCAATCCTTCAAAATTGTCACAACCTTTCATAAAGATCATAACATTTCATAAAGTAACAACTTTTCATTAAAGTCATAATTTTTCATAAAAAATTTAACTTTTCATAAAAATCATAATTTTTCATTAAAGAGAGGGCTAGTTTTGAAAATAAATAATTTTAAATGCGGTGGTGCCATGTAGGCAGACCTAGAATTTCCTCTTATATAAATATATGATTAGTTTGAAAAATACACCCTCTCTCTCTCTCTCTTTTGTTTAAAAAAATTTTGACATCACAATTCACATGAACAAAACATTCTACTTTGACAAAAAATTAATAAATTATAATCTAAAAAAAAAGAATTAGGTCTGTTTTTGACCCTCAATAAATAAAGAATTTTAAAACTTGTGATCTAAAATAAATGGGAACATGAACAAGTACCCCTAAACTATGATCAAAATCTCAGATACACACCTTAACTAACCTAAAGTTCTATTACCCCTGAATTTTATTTTTTTTTTGTAATTTTATACACCTTTTATCTTATGTGGCACACTTCGTTACTCAATGCAATTAAGGCGCATGGGAGATATTTGGATGTCACGTTAGCCAAATATATGCACAAAATTATTTTAAAAAATAAGTTCATGAGATAAATAGGACTTTACAATAGTTAAGGTGTGTCTCTGAGATTTCGATCATAGTCTAGAGGTACTTGTAAATTTTCTCAAAACAAATCATTAATTTTTATGTGATTAAATTTGTAGTAACAATTTAACTTTAAAATATTTATTTAACATCTAATAAAATGACTTTCAAAACTATCTAAATTTGTATTACGTTAGACTAACTCATATAAATCGTAATTGAGGTAAATAAATAGTGTTTTATTAGAATAATTATCTGTAGCCCATTTCTCAAGAAGCCAACAATGGCTTCAACTTGTCTGGATGTGGTACTGAATCCGAATTTGATTCCTTCTGTTATGTTACTTGCTTCAGTTTCATTTGCATATTTGACTCTTTTTTATTACCTTTGATTGCAGAGCTTTCTTGGGAATTTTTGCAACAACTGGAGTTTCAGACCTTGTACAAGACTAACACCTTGCATTTCCCAAGTGGGTTTTTCCAAGTTCAATTTTTCTTTATATATTTTTTCGAATTTCTCCAATATGATAATCATAGCTTAGAAATGGAAGAATTTGATAAAATGTAGGTTGAGATTAGGGCTAAGAAATAACATAATATGGCTTAGGGCTTATGATGTTTCTTGATGTTAGCATTTATTTTCTTTTTGGGTGAAATGTAGGTTTGAGATTTTCAATTTTGCATTTCAATTGATGGGTCAATTAGAATTTTGATACTTCAGGCATACATTTCATTTGGAGAGATTCGTATTGGTTTACTGTAGGTATCTTCAGATTTTGTGTCTTTGTATCTGATTACTGAAACACTAAATACTTGGAAATTCTTGTATTAAGATTTGGTAAAAAGAAATGTTGCGATGATTATGTGAACAACTCATTTGATTATATATCATTCATCACAATAAGGTCTTCCTTTTCAACGTTTAACGTGGGTATTAGTTGAACATGTATTGCAGGTAAGGAATAGTTTATTGCTTGGGAAAAACAAGAACTATACTAGCTCTGTAGGATATAAGGGAATTCCGTTAACAGAAATTTCTTGTGTTCCAAGTGCTGTTGCGAGTTCTAGTGAACTTCCTCCACTTGTTAGTGCTTTAAAAGCTTCAGCTGAAGAAAATGCTGCAAGTTTTCATTTTCCTGGCCATAATAGAGGACAAGCAGCGCCATCATCACTAACTCAGCTCATTGGTGCAAAACCGTTTCTTCATGATATGCCTGAGCTTCCGGAGCTTGACAATCTGTTTTCACCAGAAGGTCCCATTCTCGAAGCACAAAAAGAAGCAGCAAGACTTTTTGGAGCATTGGAAACATGGTTCCTTGTTGGCGGTAGTACATGTGGAGTTCACGCGGCCATTATGGCGACTTGTTCACCTGGAGATACTCTTATTCTCCCACGGAATTCTCATATCTCAGCCATATCTGCCATGGTATTGTCTGGTGCACTTCCTAAGTATATCGTCCCTGAATATGATTTCAAATGGGATGTTGCTGGTGGCATCACTCCATCACAGGCAAGTAAAACATCCTGACATGCATCTTTATCAACGTCGTCTTTATGCAAGAATTAAATGATCTTGAATGCATTAGTGGAACGATATTTTAAGTGTAAAATCATGCAAACTAGTGATAAATTTATAAAAGTGTTTGAAAGACTATTACACTTGTATCCGTAAAAGAATGAAGTTCTTGTTATGTAGGTGAATGATGCAATCAAAGAGCTAGAAATGGAAGGCCGAAAAGCAGCAGCCCTTTTGGTCGTCTCCCCTACCTATCATGGTATATGCAGCAACCTGGATGAGATTTGTCATATTTGTCATTCGTATAATATCCCCGTAATTGTCGATGAGGCTCATGGGGCCCATTTAGGATTTCATCCAGAGTTGCCTAGCTCATCCCTCAGCCAGGGAGCTGATCTTGCTGTACAGTCTACTCACAAAGTTTTGTGTTCGCTTACGCAGTCATCTATGTTGCACATGCAAGGAAATCTTGTTAATAGAGAAAGAATCAGCAAAAGCCTTCAAATGCTTCAAAGTAGTAGCCCTAGTTATCTGCTTTTAGCATCTCTGGATGCTGCCAGGGCCCAATTAAGTGAAAATAGAGAGGCTGTTTTTGACAAAGCAATGGACTTGGCTCTGGAAGCAAGAAGCTTGATTAGTAAAATTCCTGGAATCTCAATCATTGAGTTCCCAAGTTTCTCAAGTTTTTTCCAGATCGACCCATTGCGACTCACCATTGGTGTATGGCAGTTAGGTCTTTCAGGTTTTGAAGCAGACGATATCTTGTGCAATGATTTTGGTGTTGTTTGTGAACTTGTTGGGACCAAATCTTTTACTTTGGCATTTAACTTAGGGACTCAAAGAGATCATGTCCTTCGGCTTGTAGCTGGTCTAAACCATCTATCACAAACTTCTCACTTTCCTCAACCTGTGAAAGAAGAAGGCAAAAATGTAAATCATTTTGTATGCCTTGATGATATTAGAATAAGAATGAGTCCTAGAGAGGCCTTCTTTGCTACAAAACGTAAAGTCAGCATAAGAGATAGCCTCGGTGAAATATGTGGAGAGCTTGTATGTCCTTATCCACCTGGTATTCCAGTTCTAATTCCTGGTGAGATCATCACAGCGGAAGCATTGAATTATCTCCTGGAGATCAGAAGCAAGGGTGCTGTTATTACCGGAGCGGCTGATTTCTCCCTATCATCTTTTGTTGTATGTGTTACCTAAGCATTCTTCCGTCACCTTAAGTAAGTAGTTCATGTACAAATACGAGTGACTTTGGTGTTAGACCACCCTGCATTTGGCTTTAGAGATCTTAAGCCTTTCCTATATTGCAGGCAGCGGCAGTTTTGGGTATAGTTCAAGTTCAAAAGCAATATCTTTCAGAGCTTTGAATGGGAACTGTCATGAGCCTATTAAAGGAAACTGGTAACTCAAAGGCACATTAATGAAACTATTATGTGGACATGGCTACTCTAGGTTTGTTTTTTGATAAAATCAAAGACATTCATGTTGTCTCTATTAATGCTCGTCACAACATTGATATCTGAGGGTTCCACATTCTTCTTTTCCTCATTGTATGTATAATTCTGGTCAAACGAAGGTGGACGTATTCTCTATCAGCAAAGCAAGAGGCAACAAGATGATCCTCATCAAACTGGACATAAGCAATACAAGCAGGTGAAGAAAGAGAAACGCCGGCAAGCTATTACTCATTAGATGGCATTTCCAATTGACATTCTTTAGTTCATCTAAAACCAACATGCTCTTTAGTGTATGCTATTCCTCTTTTGGGGACTGTTAGCTATTTGGCTTCTATGTTGAGTTAAGAAACCTTGTAATCATTTGGGGTGGCTGAGAGATTGTTTGGGAGAAGTGGTGGAACAATGAGAATATGTAGCAACCCATATATTATTTCTTCTACAATGGAATTATTTTCTTCTGTTGCAAGCTGGGAAGATAAAAAATTGCATGTACTTTGTATTCTTGTTCTGTTTCTTTTTTCATTCTGATGATAGAAACATGGCATAGACATTAAGATTAAGGTGTTGTTTAGTTGGGAAGAAGTTGTACCATGATTATTTATTTCGGGATAAGTTATCCTAGGATAAGTTATTTCATCGTTTATATATGACAACTGGAGTTAAAGGTCGAGCTTCAATCAGTATATATGGGATAACTTATACCATCACTAAAGTATAAATGGCGGGATAAATAAGTTTAAGATTGCATTATTAAATTTTATACTATACGCCAAACGACTCCTAAGAGAATTGGAACAGAATGATGATAATCGTTGAAAAGATGGAAAATGAAGTAAAAATCTAGATAATGAATTTTGGAGATTTTCTTAAACGGGCCAGGTGACAAAATTTCTTTTTAACAAAATAGAGGCATTTCCCTATATGTAATAGATTGATATGGTATAAATAGTTATGTAATGTATCAATAGCGTATAAATAATATATATCTATGCATATATGATATAAAATATTTCTCAACTTTCCAATTTAGAGCTTATATATTCCTCATTATAAAATTAAAGTAGTTGGCTTATACCAATATCGTTACAAAAGTTGTTCACATACTTTTTAAAATGAGCTACTTTTGTTACGAGGATTATATCAGCTCTAAATCACAAGTTGAAGAGTATATTAAAGATGTATATACATTCACATACGTTGTTTATACAATATTTATAAATTTTAGTTTGATTTTTTTTTTCAATATTGACTTACTCAAATTTCCTCTTAATTGTTCTAAATTTTAAATTTAAATATGAGCTCCTCTCAATATTTTATATCTTTTGATATATTATTTATACGGAACAATTTATGACATTAATGGACAAGTTGTCACTCTTTCCTCAATTTGCATTATAATTAATACTTTTTGTGTTAATTTTAAGGATGTTAAGGGGTTAAATTAAATATATCTCATATATATTCTTGATTGATTAAATTAAGATATAATAATAAGAGAAAAAAATACTAAAATATTCTCATGCATGCATGTTATTAGGTTGATCACAAGAAATCTGTGTTGCTATAAATATTCTCATGCAGTTCTAAATTAATCATTTTATTTAACAGAAAAAAAAGGAATGAAAAGTACTAAAAGAATTAAGTCAAAGGTGTTTATGTGGTATTGATAAGTTCATATGTGACGAGTAGTTTTGGATTAAAAATGATTGTACTGATATTTTATCAAACTTAACAACCAACCATATTTTTAATAGCCTAAAATTGATAAAAGCTAATCACAATTTTTAATAATTGCGATAAATGGTAGATGCTAGTTATAGACACAAGTACTCAATGAAATCGCACGCACAAGTGTGTACTTGAGGACGGTATGTACACAGCGTTACACCGAACCTTGTGAAGCTAGAAAGGTTATTCTGATAAACCCTCAACTCAAGTAAAGCATATCCAAATAAGTAAGAAAAAGAAATACAATAGTGAAGAAACAATATAGAAAATATTGGAGAGAAGAAGAGTATCAACAACAAATAATACTATAAACAAAGCAGAAGAAACAATATGTGAAAGAAAAAACACCACAAACACGTAGTACAGGAACAAAATATCACTCTACTCGCACATTAAACTCAACCGTTTCACTACATGATCAGAGAAAAGAAGACTTATTGTAGCAAATACTAAAATGCACTTTGAAGCTTCTTTCACAAGAAGGAGATGTTATTCACCTTCAAACAAGTAGGAAACTAAAGCACAACTACTCCAGAACTAAAATCAGCAACCAACATGACAGAGAATGACAGACAAGTGCTTTCTCGATCTCAATAATCAAAATGAGCCAACACTAATAATGAATCAGCTCTCCGTCAAGTCAATATTAACACTAAAGTTATCTGAGGAGCTATTAATCCAAATGCAAACAACTAGATCATTTGTTTTCACCAACATGCTCCTGTGAAATATCCACAAGCTTTCCAGTAACAAGTAAGTCTTTAATCATCTCCCATCTAGGGTATAAGAGAGGAGAAAGAATCACAAAGGTATTGAAACGAAGGAAAAAACATTTCTTCCATCTTTTCAGAGAATGAAGGTAATCATCCATTATAAAAGGAAACGAGTTATAAGACATGGTGATAGTAATAACAAAACAACTACCAGAGAGTTCAGTTGAATAAGCTTCAATTATTGCACATACAACTACAGTAGATGGTTTTATCCACTAGCCACTACGCTCCACTATTAAATTCAGTTACTAAGAAATCAATTAAAAAGTATCCCCAAATGATAAACTCAAGCTAACAGCCTAACGCGGTCATGCATTTTGTAATTTGGGAATCCACCAAAGCCTTAAAGCTTGTCTCATATGCAAAGAACAAAACTGCTTAAATTGATCAGTAGGTATACAAATAAAAAAAATCACCCTTTCAGAGAAGACTTCATATGATATATAAAACTAGAACATTACAAGAACTCGACTCACGTATCGACAACATGGAGAAGCAAAAACAGAGGATGCCTATCTCCCGCTCCTAGCAGGATATCATTAACAAAGCATCTTATTTCTATAACCAATAAACCTATTATAAGTGAAATCTCAATTGTTTTCTGCCAAGTACCAGATTCCTGACAGCTACACTACAATATGGAGTAGAACAGCTCAACCCAATCAATGAAAGAAGATAGAAAGCAAGAGAAGGGCTGAAACATGAAGTTTCATCAGCCACATCAATCAATCAATCAACATCAACCATGTCTCAATCGCGAGTTAATTGACTAGCTTCTAGTTGAGTTAGCTATTATCTGTATTTACTAAGAAAGCAAAATAGAGGGGATTCATAATAGCTCAACCATGCCTTCCATAGAAGAGAGGCTAACCAACTTCATAATATTGTAAGTAAAGACATTCACCAGAATACATGAAACAGAGAAACAGATGATAATACAAGCATAAATGAAAAAAAAAAATGTTTCATACTTCACACACATCAAAATAACCAAAATCAAGCTGATTCACTAAAAAAAAAAGCAACTCTTTTATTAAAGTTTCACAAGCCATTAGCATCAGAAGACTATTAAAGAGCCAACAAGACATAGTTTTATTACATCTAAGCCTAAACCCTAAATTCCCAAACAATTATTACCAAGAAAAGGACTTTAACATAGGGCTGCAAATAATGATCCATACATAGCGAAAGCCAAAATTAGCTCGACAAATATAAAATTGATGAGTATCAGGGTGATCCAGCAAAACAAAAATCCAAACCAACCCATTACCAATAGAAGTCAAATCGATTGATATCTGAGAAAGGGGGTTTACACGGGGCTAAGAAGCTGAGAAAGAGAGGGTTTTGGTTCAGAATTCATGCCAATGATGATGACAAGAGGGATGAAACCATAATGGGTGATAACTTTAGCTTTCTTTGCTGACCATGTCCCCCACTCCTTCACGAACTTTCCCACCGCCGCAACTGCTCCGTCGTCCTCGTCCGCCGCCTCAGCTTTCTTGGTGTTCTTCCCCTTAGGTTTCAGCATGATCTTCGAAGACATGTTCGTAGTTTCTGGTGCAGAGAGGAAATCTTGAAGTGCGAGATTAGCCCAAAACTTCCTTCTTGTAATTTTTCAACTGGTTTAATTGAAGTGAGTGAGATTTGGTCTAATTTTAATTAAATTAGGGAAAGGGGTGTCAATAATTTTTTTTTTTATAAAAAAAATGGAATTAAAGGATCTTAACCATATCAAATATATTTTTAGATTGGGAAAAGGGTCAAATATGTCCCTAAACTATTTGAAAAGGTTTACATATACCCTCCGTTTAAAGTTTGGTCCATTTATAACCTCGCCGTCCAACTTTTGGTCTACATATGCCCTTTTGGACGTTAGTTGACCAACTCGGAATATCCAACTCATTTTACTTTTATTTAAATGCCAAATGGATATTCCACGTCATTTTTTATGTATCATCCCTTGACATTTATATTCAAGGGAAAAGGGTCAAATATGCCCCTAAACTATTCGAAAGGTCTAGATATACCCCGTTTAAAGTTTGATCCATTTATACCCTCACGTCCAACTTTTGGTCTACATATGCCCTTATGAGTGTTAGTTGGTCAACTCAAAATATCCAACTCAATTTACTTTTCTTTAAATGCCAAATGGGATTTCACATCATTTATATATATTATTACTTGACATTTATATTAAAAGAGAAAGGGGTCACTTATGCCCTAACTATCCGACCAAATTTTAAAACACATATACGACCGTCTTTTAAATAGTTCAATTATGCCCCTAATCCGACTCATATATGTGTGAATTATTTTGTCATTTACATCATCATCGCCTGCTGCAGCTTGCAGTTGTGTCTGTAACGTTGTTGCGGTGAATTCCTCTGCTCTAGCCCTTACCTGCCAGATTTGCGCCTCCAGCTCTGCGTTGCGCCTAAACGCTTTTCAAACCTCGACTTCCTTTTCCTTTAGTTGTCGTGCCATTGATTCCTCGGCAGTTTCAATCAGAGCACGATAGTGTTCGCCATTTAAATGGTTCAATTATGCCCTAATCCGACCCATATAGGGTATTTAAAAAAAAAGGGTCAGGTTGTATAGATTACTTAAAAGACGGGTCATATATGTGTTTTAAAATTAGGTCGGATAGTTAGGGGCATAAAAGACCCCTTTCTCTTTTAATATAAATGTCAAGTAATAATATATAAAAATGATGTGGAAAATTCATTTGACATTTAAAGAAAAGTAAAATGAGTTGGATATCTCGAATTGACCAACTAACATCCATAAGGGCATATGTAGACCAAAAGTTTGGACGCGAGGGTATAAATTAACCAAACTTTAAACGGGGGTATATCTAGACTTTTTGAATAGTTTAGGGGCATATTTGACCCTTTTCACTTGAATATAAATGTCAAGTGATAATAATAAAAATGACGTGGAAAATCCATTTGGCATTTTTGAATAAAAATAAAATGAGCTGGATATTCCGAGTTGGCCAACTAACGCTCAAAAGGGCATATGTAGACCAAAAGTTGGACGGCGAGGGTATAAATGGACCAATCTTTAAACGGAGGGTATATCTAAACCTTTTCAAATAGTTTAGGGGCATATTTGACCCTTCTCCCTTTTGGATTTAATAAAGAGGATGATTTTTATTTGGTTTTATTATAAATTCATTGAACGAGTGGATTGTTTATTCAGTTAATACATGAATTACTTATATATATTTGCTAGGTTTGATGAACCTTTATTGAATAAAAATGTATCTATTTATTATTTCTGTTGTCCCAATTTAGTGACATTTTTTTTTTGTGAGTCAGTCAGTTTAAGTTTGACAAAAAATTTGTGCAAGAAATGTTCAAGTTTTTTCAAATGAAATTTATATATTTGTAAATTACGTAAAAAATAATATAATTTATAATAATTTTCCTCAAAATGTTTAAAAGATCTATGAAAAAATTACGATCAAAAATAAATTTGTCTGAATCTCGAAATTCAAAAAGTTTCACATAAAATGAAATGGAGGGAGTATGACATTTTATATGATGATTTTGGAGTATTTCTCAACCTATAAATAGGATTATTCATTCAGGGAGACGCATGAGATACTTGAAGACTTTTAACATAAGATGATCTCTACATTCTACTCTCGATATCTCTTGCATAAATTGTCTTATAGTATATTGATTATGTGTAACAATGTGTTATTAGCACGAGACCTAGCCAATTGATATTGAATTTTAACTTTTCTCTATCTCACATTCTAGTTTATCTCGTTATGAGAATCGAGAAGGGAAAATGATAAGTACTGTAATTAAGGTATCATAAGTATAAAATCAGGTATGCATTTTCTATAATCTTTTTTTTTTATATAGAGTACATTAGTGTTAGGTTACTAACATTGACCAAGAACCAAATGCATATACTACTGGTTGAATATGACCAGCTCTACAAAATTTCTTAAATGAAATAACACAGTGGCAAAGCTAAAAATTTTACGAAGGGTGTTACACACAAATACTCGCTCATTTAAGACGTCTGGAACCCATCTAAGCAGTCTAAAACCATTTAGCTATGATGACCTATTGTGTTAAGGGTGTCCAAATATGTCATTTACTCACTTTGTGAATCATTTTATAGTACTTGTATATACTATATATTTTTTTGACAAAGGATATTCAATTGGACACCGTAGAAGAAGGTGTAAAGTTTTAGTAGCATGAATTTAAATATTACTTTGATAGACTCTAATGGTAAGTCATGTTATACTTCGGTTTATTATACCATTGGCTGAGGGTAAGACAATCAATTCGAGTCTCATCGCATCAAAATGGTAACACATCAGGTTAAAATCCGGATGAAGCATAGTAAAAAATGCTTGAGGGTAAGACCGTACATTCAAGCTCTATCAAACAAAGAGGATAAGACATCAAATTGAATTTTGATGCACTATAATGATAAGATATTGGGTTTGAGTCCCATGAGGTGTCTAAAATGAACACCGCCCACTTGAGGTGCCTAAGTGAAATTTCATGCCAACTTTAAGGGGCCACTGATGGGTTATATCAAATATCTTAAAACAATTTCACTTAGTACCCTAATAATTGTGAGATTGCTTAACATAAATAAAGATCATTTCCGATTTCATGAAATTAATGATTGAAAATACCATGTATTAGTGCAATGGATGCACATATTAATTATTCATTATGCAGATGTCAAAAATTGTGGGTACTCTTATCCCTAAAAAAACATTACAACTTAATTCCTACTTGGTACCTACTCTTCTTTGTTATTTGAAAAGAGTTTTGTATTGTCTACTTTCTTTCCTAGCAAGATTGTCTTTTCAATCTTTTCTTTTTCTTTGTGGATTTGAGGCATGGTATTCATGTCCTCTTCTAGTCATTATAACAACCTAATGGTGATTGCTTATTAAAAAATTAAAACGGCTTAAAATTCTATTGCTTAAACTTTCAATATATCTGGAGGCTCTTTTCATGATCCTCCAATGAAACAACTCATCATATGTTTATTTTCGCAGCATTTGTATGACGATGAGTGGGGCAGATCACACATAAAGTTTGTACATCAAGTTCTGCAATAATTTTGGAACAAGTAAAATTACATTGTTCATACACATCTTGTTGTTATCATAGATTTGTGAGGACTTAACTCAGTTCATGAGAAATTTACCTTTAACTAACAAACGTCCTTTACGCAGGAAACAAGTCACAAATATAACACATTTTCTTTGTGTTTATGCCTTAAAATTAGGTCATGTAACTCAGGCTCTTTGATATGGTCTTTAAATAGTTTTACCTACTCTGTCACAACATAACATCTTAAAGAATCACAGAAATGAAAGTTATCTTAAAGAATCAATGGGTAGTTAAGCCAGCTGAGGCAACATGGAATGGCACTGTCTCCTTATCAGAATTTGATCAAACATTTGCTCTAACTCATGTACCAACCATCTATTACTATAAATATTTCAATGATTTTGTTACTGATGAAATCGTCGATACCCTCAAGATCTCACTGAGCAAAGCGCTAGTATACTTCTATCCATTAGCTGGGCGTTTACGTTGGATCAATGGGTCCCGGCTTGAGCTAGACTGTGATGCCTCGGGGGTTGTTCTAACGGAAGCTGAAGCTGATGCTAAGCTAGATAATCTCACCGATTTCTTGTTATCACCGGATTATAATAGCTTATTTCCTCGTGTAGATTACACTGTCGAAATTAATGAGCTCCCTTTGTTGTTTGTGCAGCTCACTAAGTTTCAATGTGGTGGTATTGCTCTCAGTTTCGCAATCTCACATGCTGTTGTTGATGGACAAAGTGCTCTTTATTTCTTCTCTGAATGGGCTAGGATTGCTCGTGGAGAGCCGTTAATGTTTTCTCCTTGTCATGATCGAAAACTTCTCCGAGCAGGGGAACCTGCAAATGCATCTCCTACTTTTGAGCATTTACAGTTTAACACACCACCACTTTTAATTGGCAAGTCCAGTACTGAAAACGAGAAGAAAAAAACAACGAAAGGCGCTATGTTAAAACTTACTAAACATCAAGTAGAAATGTTGAGAGAAAAAGCAAATCAAGGAAGATGTTTAGAGGACAGTAAAGAGCGTAGTTACACGCGTTATGAAGTTGTAACTGCTCATATATGGAGATGTGCATGCAAAGCAAGAGGTCATAAATTTGAGCAGCCTACAAATTTATGCATTTGTGTTAACATACGTCAAAAAATGAATCCGCCTTTGCCTAATACCTACTTTGGCAATGCTATCGTTGATGTCATTGCCACCGGGGCCTCAGGTGACATTGCCTCGAGCCCATTGGAATGTGCTGCTAAAAGAGTTAGAGAAGCTATTAACATGGTGACAAGTGATTACGCAAACTCAACGATTAATTTCTTGAAAAAACAAGAGGATTTGTCAATATATCAAGATATTCATGCATTTAGAAACAAGGAGGGGCCTTTTTATGGGAATCCTAATCTTGGTGTGATAAGTTGGATAAGTTTGCCAGTGTTGGGGTTGGATTTTGGATGGGGTAAAGAGATACATATGAGTCCAGGGATTCATGAGTATGATGGTGATTGTGTTATACTCCCAGAGAATGAAGGGGATGGATCTTTGAC